GGTAAAATATGATCATTTCATCTGTCCTGTGATGGGGCTACTTTTCCTGTGATGCAGGCAGAGTGACATTTTGTGCCAATATTGAAAGATACACAGTGTTCATTGCATTAGGCTATTTATGCTCAAACTGCATATCAATTGTTTACACATTTGCCCATCTGTCACAAGTGTTGTGTGTTGTGTATGTGAAACAGTGTATACCAATAAACCTTTGCTGGCTTACCTTAGCTTTGCTGACATGATTCACACACCATGACTTTTGCTCATTCTTCAACCCATATCGTTGATATATTTGCTTTTGTGATGTATTCGTTCATTTCACAAACAGCCTATCCTCTGGACTACTGTTTCTTGCATGCTATATTCATTTTACACATACTGTATTACATTTGTTTAAGCATATGCATCATAAGATGAAACTCAGATAGATTATATGACATTCGGAAGTGGGTCTAATGGAGTCGTGGCCAAGAAATTTGGAGGCAGGCCGCGGCGTGTCGGGGTCGGGGCTGAGAGTCTCGGAGCGGGGACTGGCCGCGTCGGGGTCGGGGTTGAGAGTCTCGGAGCGGGGACTGGCCGAGTCGGGGTCGAGGCTAAGAGTCTCGGAGCGGGGACTGGCCGCGTCGGGGTCGGGGCTGAGAGTCTCGGAGCGGGGACTGGCCGCGTCGGGGTCGGGGCTGAGAGTCTCGGAGCGGGGACTGGCCGAGTCGGGGTCATGGAACGTGGGGCCGGTACTGGTCGGGTCGGGGGCATGGAACGTGGCGCCGGAGCTGGTCGGGTCGGGGGCATGGAACGTGGCGCCGGAACTGGTCGGGTCGGGGGCATGGAACGTGGCGCCGGAACTGGTCGGGTCGGGGGCATGGAACGTGGTGCTGGTACCGGGGGCATGGATCGTGGCGCTGGCTCGGGGGTCGGGGACATGGATCGTGGCACTGGCTCGGGGGTCGGGGGCATGGATCGTGGCACTGGCTCGGGGGTCGGGGGCATGGATCGTGGCACTGGCTCGGGGGTCATGGGCTTGGGTCGGGAGGCCGGGACGGGAATCTGCTGCGGCCCAGCGCGGGACATCTTGCGCTGCGACCGAGCGGGGTCGGGACGTCGCTGCGGCCCAGC